ATAAAACTTACAGAATGTAGAAAAGTAAGAGGAATATAAAATCAACCTACCAGGGACTTCCCTGGTGATCCAGTGGCTAAGACTCTGTGCTCCCAATGCAGAGGGCCTGGGTTCAATCCCTGGTCAGGGAACTAGATCCCGCATGCTGCAACTAAGACCCAGTCCAGCCAAATAAATAATTAAGTAAATAAATATTAAAAAAAATTAAAATCAACCTACCTAATGCTATTACATTAAATTTCAATCTCTTTCTATGTCTCATGTTGTATTCTTGCCTGTAGTCTTAGAAGCTTCTTTGGGAAAGCCCATCCCTTTCCACTTCCACATAGAGTTGTCACACAGCACTAATCAGTTATACCTGATGTTTCAATATTCCCTCCACCTACTTCATATACAATTCCACGTAGTATGGCATCCACTTCATTACTTTACTAGAATGTTTCTGTTGAAGTTTCCAGGCAGCCTGTCATTGCCCATGTACTATTTTCTCCACCTTCCTTGGCTTTGATGTTCCCTGGGATTTGCTTCATCTCTGGAAATCTTCTAACTTGAATTCCATGATGCTACCTCATTTTTGTTCACTTCTTATATTTGCAACCAACCCCTATCTGTTTTCTTCATTTCCCTTGCTTTTCCTTTAGGTTACTATAGTCATTGATTTACTTTCATTTGTCAATAACAGAGTAGCCAAATGACAGTGGCATAAACTACAGGATATTTATGAATTATTTAACAAGAAGTTAAGAGGTTGGCAGTCGGAGGGCTGATTGTGTGACTCAGGACAGGAGCCCAGGATCTAGTTTCTTTCCACCATCTGGTCTGTCATTCTCTAACCCTTGGCCTTGTCTTGTCTCCTACTCACAAGATGGCCAAGTAGTTCTAAGAAGACAGGTGCCTGTGTGCATGCTCAGTGTCCAACTCTTTGCAACTCTATGGACTGTAGCCCACCAGGTTCCTCTGTCCGTGGGATTTTCCAAGCAAGAATACTGGAGTGAGTTGCCATTTCCTTCTCCAGGGGATCTTCCTGACTTGGGAATCGAACCCACTTCTCTTGCATCTCCTGCATGGGCAGGTGAGTTGTTTCCCACTGTCCCACCTGAGGAGGCAGAGGCAAAAAGACCTCTCTGTTCCCATATGTCTTTCCTTTAATCAGGAAAAATGCTTTTCTCAGAAATCTTTTCCTTAGATCTCATTGGGCAACAAGGGGTGTTAAGCCCACCCCTACACTATGTAATGAAAAGGGAAATTTTCATGACTTGCTTCTGGGTTCTCTCCACCCTCCAAGGGATGCCCATTTGTGATTCATCCCTTGGTGCTGGCATAATGCCCTGAGCACAGTGGGGATTAGGGCAGCGAGAAAGAAGAGCCAAGGATCATGGAGTGGGTACCTGACGGGGCACCTCTGCCCACCTGCGAACCGTGGCTGCTCCTTAGAGATTTAATCTTCTTGTCTCCATACCTCAGTCTCTGAGGCTCCGTTCATCTTATGCCCAGAGGGGCTGTTGTGAAATAAACAGCTGGGATGTGAATGTGCTGTGTAAACAGGAGTCTTAAGTCCTAGTAAATACTACATTTTCCTAGTGAGACTCACAGTTTTGAAATAACGTTTTAGTAACCTTTTTTTGTATGTATTGAACCAAGGACCAAACGGTGCTAATCCTTTCTGCAAAATGTATCTTCACTTTCTTTCCATTTACTATCTTCCTGTTCTGGTCTCAGTCGCCTGAAATCTTGACCACTGTGACAGGGTTCTATGTGTTTCTCCTATTGACCTTTCTCTTGCTTCTATGTGCTTGCTTCCTTTGGTTTGAGGTTCTTCATGTTCTAACTTCTTTTTCCTATGACGCACAATATAAACAGTACTGTCAGGGTTCAAGTCTCTCGGCCAAACTCTTTTTTTTTTTCTATCTAAACCAAATGCCAACATCTCCTTAATATGAGTTCTCATCTTTCTAGTCAAGGCTCTTCTATAAATGCCCATGACCTTCAAGGCTCATTCCAATACCTCATCTAGGCTCTGCTATTGCCCTTAGCTGGAAAGTTTGACTTAATTTCTTACACCACCTCACAGTGCGACACTATCCAGTGAGTGGACCAGGAGGGTTTGAGAGCACCAGTAAAGCAAGTTACTTAATTCTTTGGTCTGATTGGAATTTATAAGTTCAGTTCAGTTCAGTCATGCAGTCGTGTCTGACTCAGTCGTGTCCGACCCTTTGCGACCCCATGAACTGCAGCCCGCCAGACTTCCCTGTCCATCACCAACTCCCTGAGCTTGCTCAAACTCATGTCCATCGAGTTGGTGATGCCATCCAACCATCTCATCCTCTGTCGTCCCCTTCTCCTCCTGCCTTCTATCTTTCCCAGCATCAGGGTCTTTTCCAATGAGTCAATTCTTTGCATCAGGTGGCTAAGGTATTGGAGTTTCAGTATTGGAATTTATAAACCTACCTTAAACTGTTTCACCCTTCTGATGGGATTAAACTAATCTATGTCTGATTAAGTTATAATTCTTTCCATACTAGCCTTCCTACAAGTCTAGGACCTATGTACAATAACCTAGGGCTGTATCATTGCACTGAATGCTTATTAAATACTTCATGATTTTCAAATATCTTAAAATACATACACTACGTTTTTACCCCCTCTTCCTCCACTTCAAATGTCCTATTTATTGCATTACTTGCTATATATTGCGAGAATAATGGTAAATTACAGTGAGTCCCAATGTGTGAGGAGAGAATAAGTTATGTGTGTAATCACTCCCCTCCTCTGGAGTGCAAAATGCCTACCACCTGTCTCTGACAAAAACAGAAGTTTGAAGGTCATGTCAAATATCATAGAAATAATGACTTGGCTACAGCATTCCCTAATCCTGCCCATCTTATCCTTTGTCCACTATGACACAAGAGGATATTTTGTTTCATCCTGATTTCAGACTTTGAGGGAAATAAATTCAAGTCACTTGAGGCCTACCAGTTAGTACAATATCGTGAAGGCAAAAATTATGCTAAAATTTTAAGAGGAAAAAAATGTGACTGAACTTTTCAGAAAGAAATACTTGTCTACGGGATTTTCAAGAGGGAAAAATTAACTTGTAAAGAAGAGAAACTCATTTTTAAGCATTTTCATAGTTTAAATCAGGTTGGATCTTGAACTTGGGAGTCTTTTTGATGGAGTAAGAGAGGAGGAATTTATTAAAGAGAGGAAGAAGAGGTATCTAACGTGTCAAAATGATGATGAAGATGACTATGCCAGTGGTCTCGTGATAACAAACAATGACTTACATTTCATGGTCATTCTGGTCATTAAGAGCTGTCATTTGAAAAACACAGCTTTATAGAGAAGGTCCAAAAAACTGGACGTTACCCTACAGTTATTTCTGAATAACGAGCTGACCCAAACACACACAGACACAAAAGTAAGCCTTATCTTCTTTTCGTTCTTGCATTTACCTGTTAGTAGTTGCATGCGTTTTGGGTTTCAACACATATTCCGGCCCAGCAAAGTTCATTAAGATAAGAAAATGGATAAGAATTTTCATTTTTATCCCATTTCACAAAACTTGAGTATAAGGCAGGTGGAAAGAAGTGAACTGATTGTCCACTTTGGAAGAAAATGCTAAGTCTAGTACATGAGAACCTTCAAAGCAAGCGAAGCCCTCACTGCCCTCCCCAGTATCTTCCTTCATGTACCCCACTGACCCTTGCTCTTTTTTTCTCACTGCTTCCTTGTTCTGCTTCTTCTTCGCTTTCCTGTTCATCCACACGCTAGAAGCCTGAGATAATGATTTTTGATCCAAGATTATGTAACATTTGAAGTTAAAAGGGGGACATTTTTTAGTCCAGAAACCAAAATTAAAAAAAAAAAAAAACCAAAAACAAACTACTTATGTGTAATGTATGCCTGCGTTGTCTTTAGAAGAAAAAAAAAAAGTCAAACAGCAATAAGCCCAGTAATTAGAGCAGCGACTGTGCCCTGCTATTCCCGGTTCCCCTCTAATTGTTCATTTCTGCGAGGGCTGTGTGTTCCAGTAGGTCGTGAATTGTTGCTCACATTTAGAGCAACAATTGTCATTGCGTTGTCCTTTACAGCCACAAAAATATAGTTTAATAACGTAAGTTAATGACTTAAAAATACTTTGTCTTCCTAGATGACTTCGTTACGGCATTTAAAAGTAGCATTTCGGATGAGAACGAAGGATGTGCAGCCAATGAAGAAAAGAGGAACGCTTCCCTTTTATCCCCCTTCTGCTGCCGATTAGAAAGAAATCCAGTCCAGGTTTTGCCTTCGACTCGGCCTCTGAATTTCGGCTGTGCGAAGTGTAGCACGTTTCTCTCCCTCCCCTCCTTTCTCCTTCCCTCTAGCCTCCAGCGTCTGTCTCCAGGATTTCTCTCTTCCTATTTCAGGAGGACTCTCACAGGCTCCCTCAGCCTGTGCGAAGCTGAGGTTTCCCCTGGATCTCGTATATCCCCAACACATACCTCCACGCACACACGTCCCCGAGAACCCCGCGCTCACACCGACACACACTCGCGCGCGCACACCCTCGCGGTCGCCTGTCCATCTCCCTCCCGGGAGAGCCGGCGCGCGTCTCCACCTTCGCCGCACACTCCCGCTACCCGAGCTCGCAGCGCGCTAGGATTCTTGCGGCTCGGAACTCGGATCGCAGCGCTCAACCCCTATGGTGGTTTTTGGAAACATTTCTTTTCCTCCTTTTCCTCGTTTTTATTGCACCGTTTTCGGTCTGGGGAACTAGAGGAGCGAGGCGGCTGCTTTCCCAGCCAGCCCCGGTTGGCTTTGCCATCCTCCATCAGGCTTATAAAAGTTTGCTGAGCGCAGTCCAGAGGGCTGCGCGGCTCGTCCCCTCGGCTGGCGGAAGGGGGTGACGCTGGGCAGCTGCGAGGAGCGCGCCGCCGGCTCTGGCGGGCTTTCGGCTGGAGGGGCAAGGTGAAGAGCGCACGGGTCCCGGGGTTCACGGAGCTGGATTTGCATGTTGCACCATGCCTTCTTGGATCGGGGCTGTGATTCTTCCCCTCTCCGGGCTGCTGCTGTCTCTCCCGGCCCGGGCGGAGGTGAAGGCTCGGAGCTGCGGCGAGGTCCGCCAGGCGTACGGTGCCAAGGGATTCAGCCTGGCGGACATCCCCTACCAGGAGATCGCAGGTAAGCGCGGGCGCGCGGCCCGGGCCGGCTGCAGCCCTCGGCGGCCGCCCGTCCCCCGGGCCGCCGGAAGCCCTCCGCCTTCCCCCTGTTGCTGAGTTGTGGTGTTCACTTTCTGCCGGGGGCTCCCCGGGCCGCCGCGCCTCCGTGCCGGGCGGCGGATGCTCTGGGCGGCTTCTCCCGCGGAGGGGGGGAAGGTGTGCGTCTCCGGCTGCCTCATTGTGTGTGCACACGCGGGAGCGCCCTCCTTCCCTCCCTCCCTCCCGCGCTCGGCTCCCGCGCCCTCGCGCTCCTGCTCCGAGCGGGCCAGGGAGCCCGGGACCCCCGGGGGCGGCCGCGGCGCGAGGGCGGCACGCCGAGTCGGGCGCCCACCCCGCGCCGCTCGCTCAGGCAAACTTGAAAGAACTGCGGCCGCAGTTTGCCCAGCGCCACCGTCAGAGTGGCGCCTTCTCCGCTCCCGCCCTCGCGCCGGCGGGGGCGGTGGAGAGACGCGGAGGGCTCCCCGGCCCCTAGCTCCTGCCCTCCGGGGAGGCAGAGCGCCCGGCGCCCGGGCCGAGGGTGGGCGGGCGAGCGGGGCTGGGGGTAGGAGATACCCCCCACCCCTTCCACCCGGGGACTCGGCCTCCGACGTCGGCGGTTCCGGGCGGGTCTGGGGAGTTCGCGGGCTGCCCGTTTCAGATTTGGGGCGGGCTTTGCCGTTCCGGCTCCTCAGGGCTCTCCCGATCGCGGTTGGTCACTCGCGGTCCGGGGGACAGCTCTGCCGCCCCGCGCGGCGCCCCGTCCGGAGCGCGGCCTCGTCAGCCCGCTCCGGGGAGCTGAGTCAACTTCAGCGGGTGGCTCGCTAGCGGATGCGTCCCGGGGGTCTTCTGGGACCCCGTGTCCCCCGGCCACGGGTGTTCCTCCCTCGAGAGCCCCCAACCCCCGGGCCCGGCGCCGGCGTGTGGGGAGCGCTCGGTCTCCGACCACTTGGTCTCCGACCACTTGCGCGGTCGCTTGGGTGCATGTTTTCCGGCTCTTAGTTCCAACCGAACCCGAGCATCTCGGGGGCTCAGTGAATGAAACGTGTTGGGGAGAGGTAATCCCCTGGCTGCGGGAGCGCGGAGCTGAGAGAGACAGCGAGGGGCCAGGGGATGCTGTGAGGGCGCGGGCTGCTCAAACCCGGCAGCCGAAGTCCTCAGTGACCCTCAGATGGTCGAATCAGAACCCTGGATTTCCACCAGCCTCTCTGCGTTTTGCCCAGGAGCTGGTCTCTACTGTGTGAAAAGCATTTTGCATACGTAGTGGGATTGCCGTTTTATGGTTGATGCACAAACTCTACAAGTGAGGGTTTTTACTTATCCTGGAATGAGCACGTTTCTAGAAATGTAGGCACTGAAAAAAACAAACAAAAAAACCCCCCAAAACACGGCTTACATATCACACTAACAGCGCGGAGCATTATATACAGGGAGAGGTTTTCAATTCTGAGCCAGACGCAGGCAGCCTCTGGTGAGTCGGAGGCGGAACCTGTGGTGAATTATAAGACCACTTTTCTCTCTCTGTCACTTCATCTCGCTTTTCCAGAGCTCCTTAATTTGTTAATCAATACGTAGAGAGAGACTGCCCCCACAGATCCTTAAGTTTCTTAACTCTCCTTCCCCTTTGTCTACTGTTATTTCATTCTTTTTAATTAATTGATAAGGATCAGCTTTGCCCTTTTTTTCCCTCCCCCAGTCTCAGGGAATTCAACTTTTTAAAGGTTTAGAGTATGGATCACTTTTTTCTGGGAACTTTTTCTCCTCTAATCTGGGTTTTTTTCAAACTATGTCTTTTAAACACACAGATATTTCCCAACGTGATTTCAGAAAAGGTATCTCCAAGAAGAAAATAGTTAAGTATTTTTAAATTGCTTCTGTATTGTTTAATGAATAGTGGGGCTTTCAGGAGACTACAGGTCTTTACAACAATGGAAATCTCCTTAATATCGAAGGGAAGGTTTTCAGTGTATATGATTTCTGTAGGCACCATTGACTTTCCTGAAACATTCCCAGTGTTTGAAATAAATCCTTTAGTAGATTTTTAGCTACAGGTTTTTTCCCCCTTTTCCATCCCCCCCTTTGACAATTACAGGGCTTGTTAATTAGCTATGAATTTCTAAAATGTGTGCACTTTCTGTTAAATTCTCTTTCTAGGACTAAGGGGACTGTTGACTTTGCATAAAGCTTCCTAACTTTTGGTACCCTTTGAAATACTCAAGCTATAGGTCATTGGGGGGTCAGAGGCACATCTGATAGGAAAAACAAATGAAATGAAAGGTACCTGTGTATTAAGGATCAACATTTTTTCAAGGTAAACTTAACTCAATGCTACCTATTGCTGTTGGAAGAATTATTTGTGTCCTGTTATTAAATGAACCCACTTTTCTTCTCCTCCCTAGTTCCTGATATTATTTACTTTTAATTATCTAGTATATGGTGGTTATCCTTCCCTTCAACTCCTTCAACCCCTTTGCCTTTGTTTGGACTTTTAATGGATTGCTTGAGAAACGACATGTGCTGTTAGTCTGCCAGGGAACATGAATTTAAAGGAACTGCTGTTCAGATTTCAGGTTCATGAGAGCTGTTTCTAATTGAAAGATATTTGCAGGTAGCTTGCCTGGTAAAATAACTGAGAAGTAATGAGGACTTTATGTCTCATCATGACATTATTAAAGTTTTACTCAGAACTCACAATTGTGAAATAGTGTTGCCCTTTTCTATTCTAGGATAAAAGGGAATTCTTCAAACTCAACAGATGAGGGGCTGTGATGGGTCATATATAAAGTTTGACTCTCAGAGAGTGGTTGGGAAAGAGGAGGCCTTCAAGGGGCAGCTTGTACCATTAATCTTCACTCAGCCCCGATTTTAAGCCATCCCAGGCAGATCAGATAGACTATCTGTCCTTGTTTGAAAGACCTCCAAAGGAGTAGGCTCTTGAGCCCCTCTCAGCAATCCATTCTGATACTTGGTAATTTTTGTGGTATCCAAACGCTTCCAGATATCTAGTCAAAAACCTTCAAAGCCTGCTTGCTTATTTTCTCTTGTTCTGTCTTCTGGGAAGATATTGAGCCGTGTATCATTGGCTTCTTTGTTAGGACTGTTATTCTGATCAAAGGTCAGCGCGAACCATGCTGGTTTTTCTTCCAGCACCAGTAATGTTATCTTGTTTTCCAATCCAAGTCACACTGATGGCTCCAAACTTGTAAAGGAACTCACAGCTGAGAAGAGCATCTGCTTAAAAGGCTGGGCAATTCAGGGGATGTTGTTTTATGCTTATGGAGCCTCTGTTTTATGCTTTGAGCCTTTTTGGAGTCATTAATTATAATATGCATGTGTTGCTGACTAGTGGTAATTTATTGGCTCATGTTAATGTTTTTCATTTATCTAATGTAACTTTACTTAACAGTCCCTTATGTAGAAATTACTATGTCCAGCACCTATGTGACAATATTACCCACTTTAAAAACATTAAACATTGTCTGATTGACTTCTTTTAATAACTTAGGTACTGTCATTATCCCCATTTTAAAGATGAAAAGACTGAGCAACAGATAATTAACTTGCCTGAGGATGAGAGCTGGAAAGTGAGGAGCCTAGAATTCAAATGCAGGCACTCTGACCCCAGGCACTGGAGTCCATACACTTCATCGTGTCCACTGCCATGCTGTATTTGTTGAATGAATGCATGTAAGATCAGTTCTATTCTCATCTAATACCTATATAGCCTGGTATTCTCAATCACCATATGCATTCACTCACAGTTCAAGCTGAGAATTTTTCTATTTACTTGCAACATCTACAATTTTTCAAACTCACTGTGAATTTGGGTTTTATGTTCTCTGCAATTGGCTATGCTTCCACCACTAAATTGTCTGTGTATTTGTGCATTTTCCTAATCGTTGTGTAGATGTGGTTTTATAAAAGATAAAAAGTAAAAACATGTGTCGGGTGTTTTTTTCAATATACTGGGCCTACTTTCTGAATATTGGGTTAGTCCAAAAAAACTTACTATAGGAAATTATCATGAGGGTTAGAAGGAGGAGGGAAATTTATCTCCAAAAATTAGGGGGGAAAAATATAACTAACACTGTTCTCAATAACTTACTCTGCCAACTTTTTCCTATGAGTCAGGCTATAGCTCAATATTAAGAAAGCATAAAATTCTCTCCTGCTTCTTTGATATCAGTTTATCTCAAAAATATGTAAATCTATCTCAAAAATCTAAAGTCAAAAAAAAAAAGAGAACATTCTCTAATATTCCAGGGATATACTAGTGATTGTTTTAGTCTTTGTTTATCATTTTCAAATCTCAGAATATGTAATGCTTTTGTTTTAGTCTTTGTTTATCATTTTCAAATCTCAGAATATGTAATGCTTCATCTTACCTGGCCTGGGTCCAGCAGTTCCTTCCTTTTTTTGGTGGGCTTCCCAGGGAATAAGCCCTCCCTTCCTCTGCTCCCCAGCAAACCAACTTCTTTAATACATTTGCTGTTAACCCAACTCTTTTTTCAATTTACATATAGATATCACATTAACGTAAATGAAAAAACAGTGTTTGAAAATCTTACTCTTTAAATCTCCTAGTTAGGGATGAATAATTTAATTTCCATTTAACCGCCTTCTTCACAGAGTTCTGATTTCCTAGTGCTCTGTTTCCTTAGATGATGTCTTTAAGATCCTTTCGAAGAACAGTGTGAGGTATAAACGAATTAGTGGAACTTCAAATGGTTTTTTTTATGATTTGTCAAGTCACTAGATTACGGAAAGATTCTCATTAATTCCAGGTATCAAAGCAATCTAAAATCTGGGCTATTAGGAGTACCACTTGTTAGACTTTTGATTTGGGAATTAATTTTAGAATGATCCTTGCAAACAGAGTTCTCTTAGCTGATTTAATTAGAAGACGATATGTCATCACTGAGAATAAGAGTTCATTTGAGTTGACTGATAGACTTTTTTACATAAAACTCACATCTTTTAACTGTG